TAAAAGTGATATTGTCGTGAATACCGGTGAAATTTAAATTTAATGCTGAGGCTTTTAGCTACTAATTAGGAAGCACAGAAAAGAGTAATCAGGCCAATTATACAGTTAGGAGTTTAGTACAATGTCTATGTAGATGATTATTATAATAAAGTATAGACAAAGTGCAAATATCAGAGAAATTGAAATATCAGTCTTAGGATCAAAAGTCAAAAGACTTGAGAATTTTAATCCCCAAAGAAGGGTAACTTGATAAACTTGATAGCTATTTCTAAATCTCAAGGAAATTCATGATACAAAATAAAAGCAAGTGTTTTCTGTGTCCATGAAGAATAATACAGAAGAAATAGACTTAATTTAGTGTATGACAAGATGACAAAACTTTACAACGTATGTAACAGATAATAATTTGTGTCCAAATCACATGAAGAATTTCTATGAATAGGTGAAAATATAAAAAATGGCTTGATGTAAAAAATGCTCAAGGATGTGAACATGTTAAGTGACAGAAGAGCAAATATAAGCGAGGAGAGTTTCATTTCTGCTAGCAATCAGAAAAACATAAGCCATTTTAACAGCACTTTTCCCTGATTAGACTGAAAAACCTCTATAAAAGTATAACGACTATTTATAAGACTGTGGGTAGATACAGATGCTCATATTATGATAAAGACGGTGAAAATTGGCACAGACACTTTGGAGTATAATTCAGTGATGTCTATTAAAATGAGAAATCTGTACAGACTGTGACTCATCAATTTTATTTATCATAATGAGAATCATTAGTGTTCTCCATTGTTATTCAGCTCTCCTTTCCTTCTCTGTGGATCTGGTGTGCTTGCCTGGGGCTATGTATCTCTGGCCAATGAGCTGTTACTTCTGTGTTAAGTGGGGATGAGGAGGGAGGGAGATGTGGGATCTGATGAGCTTTCTTTTCTTTTGCTGTGGAACTTGTCAATGCTGAAAATGGTGACTGCTCTAGCAAACTGGTTGCTGGAGTAACTAGCAAGGGTAGGGCATCCCAACAACTCTCAATGTATATATAACTTGAGCAACAACTACAACTTTCTGTGTAATGAAAAATATCAATGAAACTCTAAAATTGTTAAGAAGAAAAAAAAATGATGTAAAAGATACACTTATTGGATGAAATGTATAAAAAATTCAAGCCACAAAGTAGTAGCATGTTTTTATACTGCATATTTCTAGTGCATCCCAAAGTGCCAAGCATAAAAGTACATTTAAAATAGCCATTTTTTTGAGAGTGAGAGTAATTAGATAGGACAGAGGAATGGTGACAAAAGGTGAATTAGGTGACGCTAAAAGTATTGTAATATGAAAAGATACATTGTTTTAAATGATGTAGAAATGATATAGAGAAGACTATTATCATCCATAAGGGAAGAATTCCTTACTATTAGAATTTTAAGACATCAATAGAATGTAGTCTCTGGTGGATAAAATTATCACATTTATACACATAAAAATGTGCATACACTGAAAACATTCTAGGGGCTCATGTGCGTACACTGTATCTTTTGAAATGTTCATTAAGTACTGTATGCAACAACAAAAGAGAATAAAAACTCATACATTTCATTGGACATTACTTAAATTAGTTGATGTACATTCATATAATGAAATACTTCTCAGTATTTCCAAGAGGCAGCTCCGTAGTATTGATAAGGAAAGATGTCGACAATAAATTATTAAGCAAAATAAGCTATGTGGAGAACTTTTTATATAGCAAATTTCCATTTATATGAAGAAGGGGAAAAAAGAAAAACAAAGAAGAATAAATTTGTAGTTCTTGTTCCCCAAACAAAACAAATAGAACAAAAACCAAACAAACAAACAAACAAAACCAACTAAGCAGAATGGTAGCCTTGCTGAACTAAGAGTTGGAAAACTGAGTTGGCATAAGGAAGAAGCATCAACACAATTTTTATTTTGTCTTGGGACATTTATAATTACAATGGTAGTAAATGATTGCTTCTGCCAGAATGCCTATACAGTAACACACAAACATTTCCTGAGTACCCAGTGATTATGGGAGAATCAAAGTAAAGTGTAAGCAGTGGAGCTCACCGGCAACAGTATACAGGGGCATGATGGAGGGTAGCACTGAGGATGAATAGTATATCATGGGTCCTGTAATGGAAGAGTTGATACAAGAGAACTTTTACTAGTGTTTCTAAAAGTGTGGTCCTGGATGAAAGGAAATTGGGGACAGGCAGTGTATCCTCTTGAGGTGGCACACTAGACTATTTCATATTTCATTTCAAAGGCTTATTTATTTATTTATTTATTTGAAAATCAGAATTACAAGAGAGGAAGAGACAGAATCTTCCATCTGCTGCTTCATTCTACACATGGCTAGGAAGCCAGGAATCAGGAGCTTCTTTCACTTTGGCCATCTTCCACTGCTTTCCTAGGCCATTAACAGGGTGGAGTGCCAGAAGCAAAATGGCCGAGTCTCAAGACAGTGCCCACATGAGATTGCTGGGGTTGCAGGTGGTGGCTTTACGTGCTCTGCCACAATTGTGACCCTTACATTTTATTTCTAATTGATGCCACAGACATGTAAGCATACTTTAACATTAGATTCAGTTCTCTAGCCTGGGATGTCCCCACATCACAGGTTAGAAAGTGGATTAGAGAAATGAGACTGGGTACTGTGTTAAGCCAGATTATGACCTCTCTGTCAATTTGCATATTAGAATCAATGTCCACAGATATCTGAAGTTATTATTACTTGAACATAAGCAGTAGGTTAATAATAGCAAAAAGGTAGCAGGACAGAAATAAAAATCAAAGCAAACTATACTGATCTTCCACATGTCCATCTGGTGGATTTTGTAGATGTTATTATAGTATTATGTTGTGACACACACGATACTGACTTAGCCCTTCAGGCACTATTTTTCTTTTCTTTGAACCATTATTTGAAATGAGATTACACTGCTATCAGAATGAGGCCAGTAGGTGTCCTGATCTAATCAGCATCAGGATTAAATCTACACAGCAAGTGCTTTATCTTTAAGGGGGAGGACGAACGTCAGTTTTTCTTCAATATCCGTTTCTAACCCCAAATAAAAGCCTTTGTTAAACATTTAATACCAAAGGGGGATAACTGATATAGAACAGAGTTACGTAAAGTGTGGCACTTGGATTGTCTGCACCAGAAACTACTGGAAGCTTTGTTGAACTGCGTATCTCTAGACCCTACACTAAGTCTAGTCAATCAGTCTTGATGGATTTGTGGACCCAGGGATCTGTCATTTTAATGAACTTTCCCACTTTCTTCTGGCACAAGCATACATTGATGAGCCATCATCCTGTGTGAAGACTATGGCAGTATAGTTAAGGAGAATAAAGGAGTAAGAAAAAAGTTTTTGCAGACTGATCATTTTAAAAAGGTTCAATGGGTGAAACAAGGGGTTAGATTAATTGAACATCACCCTAAATTACCTTGCTCAGGGTGTAAGACCAATGATCAGATTTTGAATTTATGATGATGGTGACACCCAGAGACATGTGCTAGATATCATTTCAGTAAGTTCACTAAAAGTACAACTACATGTGATTGAACTTTTGTATTTTTTCTCTTTTTAAAAGAAATGTTTATTTATGTTTTAGTCACATTTGCAGAGAGAAGGAGAGACAGAAAAAATAAGCAGGGGGCCAGAAGGGAAGTAAGACAGCTGGGACACAAGCCGGTGTGCATATGAGATCCCAACCCCCTTAAGGCAAGGACTTTAGCCACTATCTTTTTAAGTCTTCAAATGAAGAATTCACAGATCAGAAAAAATAAATCCTTGGTCAGACTATGCATGTTTTTCTGATTCTTGGTGCAGAAAATATGTTCAGCCGACTTATACAAAACTGAACCCAGGGAGTAAGTACCACATAGACAAGTAGACTTGAATGTCATCAACAGGGACAATAATTAAATCCGGAAGACAGATGATGCTGACCCTGACACAGTCACCCCATGGCATTTAGCATTGTTCTGCTTTGGTGGTGGTAGAATTTCAGCAAGAATTCTGTGCTCTGAGCAATCAGCATGCAGTTGCTAATCTTTCTTGATAGCACTTTGTTTAGTTTTTTTTTTTTTTTTAATATATAGTCAAGCAAAAGGTTGACAGCTTTTACTTTTTAAACTAACTTATCTGCTTCTCTTATAGTGAGAATGTACATGTGTTCCTTTAGATCTCTAACAGTTCCTCTAAGAGAAGACAGGGTCTCATTTGTGCAATGGTGAAAAAGTCCAAATGGAAGCTTTGAGGCAAATGGGAAATCCTTTGATGTGCAAATATGGAAACAGATATTACAAAAGAAGCCAAAGTTATGAGCTGCAAACCAGATGAAGATTAGTGTTCCTGGGGTTCATACTGGGGAGTGTATTTAGGATTGCATAATGCTTCATGATATCAACAAGAGCAGAGAAATATATGTGACGAAGATAAGTTGTTCTTTGATGTGGCATTGCATTTTTTGGTGACTCTAACAAGCCAAATAGAGAATAGGAGAACCTAAAGATTTGTGCTGAATAGTATTAACTCACTCTTAAAATTTGGTGATAAACAAAACCAGGAAATGGAAATTTGTTGATGGTCACTTTGTACCTGTGACTTTATATATGTATTTTTTTAATTTTAATTTTTAATTTTAAATTTTATGGTACAATTCCCACCCCCCAAATTCCCACTCACTGACTAATTTCCCCATATTGTTACAATAGTACAGTCCTTCATAAGGAGTTATAATTCCATTCCTTCCTCATAATGAAGATGAATAAATGAAGACTCAGAGAAGTTAAACAATACAAAGTAAAACAGTTTGTAAGTGACAAAATTGGATTTGATCTTAGTTTTATCGTATTCTATAACTTGTATGCATCCCACTGTAACCTTGTGGCAACAGGATTTTTAACACCATTTTGTAGCCCTACTACACTTTTGTCTTCTGGGTTCCTGCTATGGTCACAGGAATAACAAAAGGTTCTCACTTTGGCGGCACATACACCAAAATAGGAACCATACAAAGAAAATTAGCAAGGTGCCTGCCCGAGGATGACACACAAATTTGTGAAGTGTTCCCTATTTTTAGAATACAGGGGCCTAAATTAAGGATTAAAAGGAGCCTATGTATTCCCTAAGTGTTACAAACACCTGAAGCTTAGATGACCCGTGTCTGTGTGACACTCCAAGACGAAATGGTGGCCATCTTCACACAGCAACATGGAGAATCTCACATTTGAAACATAAGAACAAGGAGGAAATTTATTAAGAACTTTGGATACAACTCTCAGAAAGTTCCATTTGTTATTTAAAATGTACCAACTTCACACTCAAAGAAAAGTTAGAATGGATGTGTAAAGTACATTGACTTGCCAACACAAACACTTGAGAACAAACTGAACAAGCGATAGCTACATATCTGATACTTTATTGCAAAACCCCCACAAATAAAAGTATTGTCATCCATAATCCAGAAAATAAAAGAAATAGCATAAGGGATAAGGTAACAATTATGAGAGTTATTTAGCTGTAAATTGGAGAAGAAGCCAGATTTAACTCTGATTAATTAATTAAGTCTTGGAATAATTGTATTTTTTAAAAAAGATTTATTTCATTATTTTTATTTGAAAGGTGGAATCACCTAGAGAGAAAGAGACACACAGACAGATTTTCATTAACTGGATCACTTCCCAGATGGCTACAATGGCTGGACCTGAGCCAATCTGAAACCAGGAGTCAGAAGCTTCTTTTGGATCTCCCACAAGGAAGCAGAGTCCCAAGGACTTGAGTCATCCTCTACTGCTTTCCCAAGCCATGAACAGGGAGCTAAAGTGAAAGTGGAATAGCCAGGACATGAACTGGTGCTTATATGGGATGCCAATGCAACAGATGGAAACGCAGCACACTACACAGCACCAGTGACCCTTTGAACTATTCTATAAAATAAGAACTATTATCATTCATTTTGAAGCTAAGGAAAATGAGGTGCAACATGTTAAAATAAATTTTTCAAGATGATTCAGCTAGGACACAAGTGAATTCAAACTAAGTTTGGTGATAAAGCGTCTCTATTTGTATCGTGGAATGATGCCTTAGAAACATAAAGAATAGAAGTCAGGTATTTCTTATGGTAAATGTTTACAACATGAATAAAAGGATAATAAAGAAAGATAAATTATTTAATTTTCAGCCTATATTCTTCCTATGATCTTGAATTTGTTCATTTGTGCTCTTTGTATGCCTGCCTCTTGATCTTTAGAGTATTATCCAATAAAATCCTTCCTTAATCACTCATGTGTTGTTAATCCTTTCCATTCCCCTGTCAGAGTGGTCCTCCCTTATAACCTAACAATCACACACAATTATCTCACTGCAGTTCTAAAATCACATCTGGCTCTTCATCATCTCTCTTTATTCCAATTAATTATTTAAGACAATCTAAAGTCCCTAACAAATCTTTGAATCTATTTTATCTTACTGTTTATCCAATCAGAACTCTGGTTTTTGCCTATGAATGCATATTTTTCTATTGAGTTGTGGAGGAGATTTCCTCAATGCAACGCAATGAAACGGAACAAGTGTGTTGGCAACACGTAAAGAGCTTTCCTACAGACAGTAAACCACACTTCTGTAGGTGTATACAGAGACCATAGTGTCAAGTTTCTGACTGCAAAGTGAAATGAATATGTACTCTTGTAAAAAAAAACTAGAAGGAAAGAAAGAAGAAAGGAGCAGCGTGAGTGGAGAATGTGGGCAAGAGGGAGAGTATCTGTATTTCAATATACATGAAATGTGTTCACTTTATACAAATAAATATTTATGGGGAAAAACATGAGCCACAGAGAAGCAGAGTTGAATGGGGACCCTAGTCATCATTAGTCAAACACCCTCCTCCTCCCACATTCTTCAGAGCACAAATGTAAATCTCAGAAACATCTTAAACTTTGTATCTCTCAATTTCCACTCACATACTGACCATCACTTTGTAAGCCCAGATTCACGTCTCTCCTTGCCAAACCTTCTCTCTTGTGGGTAATGAGCACCTGGATGACCTTTTGCCTTGTCTTTCTTATCCATTTTCTCAGCAGCACCTATGTTGTGCAATCCGTCAATAAATGTTCTTTGTTGGTGACCTGACAGATACTAGAGATAGAAGAGTCCTTGGCTCCTCCAAACTCTGCTAATGTTTGCCCTCACATTACATTTGCCACTCAAGATAATAATAGACCTTTATTCAGCCCAGCTCTAGTTCGAATCACAGTCTTTTTACAAACTCTCTCATTTCTCTGTGACATTCAGCTGCTGTGATTTCACTCATTTCACTCAGATCATTGATTCTCTTACATTGCTGGTCTTCCTCCACCCCCTACCTGACAGCCACTATTCACTCCTGTAAGTTTTAATAGTTCTGGAGTTCCTATAAATCCTATTTTTGCATAGCTCACAAGCCTTTATCTTAAGGATCTTTAATAACAAACCACTTCTTTGATGCCCTTACCTATTTCTCAGGTCTTCTTCCTATCCATGACTTGCTGCAACCGTGCCAGGCATGGGAATATGCTTCCTCTCTGGCTTGTGACCAAGCCTCAGCTGTGGTTTTTTTTTTTTTCCTGTATTGTTTGTTTGATATCTACCTGCCAACCATTATACCATTGCTCCCAAATGAGCAGGGGTTCTATCTTTCCAGAGCATGCCTTATGGTTTTGATAACCATAAAGATCATAGTCTGTGCAAGCACTGATATTTCCTGGTCTTTTGATGTTCTTTCCCATTACATGTTTGCTAATTTCTTTCTTTAAAAAAATTATTTTTGATGATGTTTACTTAGTTGATTAGGGTGGGAAGCTTCAAGGATTAGAAGAAAGTGGGTAAGATTACTGTTTCCACATTTTTTTTGTTTGTTTGTTTTCGTTTTTTGTCTTCCTGTATCTGGGGGAAGGGGGCTAAAATAAAAGGAGAAGCCACACCCAGCCTCTCAACCGCCTCTTTACCCGGGGATAGGGGATCACACCAGATGCTATCCCAGCGCTCCCGATGTGGGGCATGCTCTGAAAGTCCTGCTCGAGTGGTTTTCATAGTTCAATAATTCTGAGATGCTGTCGATCTCGCTGCTCCAAGCATGATGAAATCCCTCCATGATCCGCTGGCTGACATAATACTCCTTACAGTCTCCATTCCTCCCGATACTCACTGCCAACATTTGGCTGGGATAGTTGATCAATTTGTTCTGTCGTCTGTTCTCTGTTATGGTACTCTATTATCTGTTCTGTGCAGGTTCCAATGAATTGCCATACCCTCCATGTGCATCTGGATATGCTATCCACTGCTCCATCTGAGCCACTGTGAAGGCCCAGCTCTGACACATGCACTCCATGGTCAGACCATGGAATCTGCAATTCTCCTCATGGTTGGAGTTCTGAGTCCAGTGGTTCAGTTGGGGGGGGGGGGAAATCCCCACAGAAATCTTATCTGAGGTGATCTCAGAACTGATTCTTGTGTGTGCTTGCCAATGCAGGATCCGGCAAAATCTGTCACCCACATCAGCCTACAGGTACACTGGTGGTTGCAATTGCTGGATCAGTTCTTTCTCTAGCCCCGTCTTCTATGGAAACCAATATGTGTTGGAACCCAGTCTGTTCCTGTCCACCATACATTTGGCACTCATGTAAGCCAGTGGGAGCTGAAGCCTAGTTAGAGCAACCCCTCAATAACCTCCACCAGGCCTAACCACTGCCCTGTTTCCCGTGCTTGCCAGTATGTACAGCCAACTGGTCCAGTCTATTCCACATCCCATTCAGCTCTCATACATGGCAATGGGCATTGAAACCTAGTTCAAAAATACCAGCCCCCTTATCCAGCCCAAATTCGTGCCAGTGGGTACCACTCTATCTAGCTATGCCTGCCCCCAGCCCTGGTTCTCAGGCTCACCAAAATGTTTCTGACAAACTTAACCTGCCCCTTTTCATGCACTGTACATAGTCTTTCATATAGGTGGAGTTTGGAAATACTTCAGTGCTTCCATAATCATCACTGACTTCCCAACACAATTCCAAGTAAATGCTCACTGATATGTCCCCTGTGAGAATGTGACATTTTCCACTTGAAGGCCCCAAAATTTCATACTATTAAGATTATTATCTCAAATTGTTCCTGCATAAACTGCCTGGAACTGCCACTGCTTTTATAAAACTTGTTTCTTTTTACTTGAAAGCCAGATTTACAAGGGAAAGGAGAGACAGAGGGAGCAAGATCTTCTATCTGGTGGTTCACTCCCCAAACAGCCACATTGGCCAGAGCTGAGCCCATCCAAAGCCAGGAGGCAGGAGCTTCCTCCATCTTTCTCCTGTAGGTGCAGAGGCCCAAGGACTTGAGCCATCCTCCACTGCTTTCCCATTCCACAGGCAGGGAGCTGAATCAATCACAAGTGGAGTAGCCCAAACATGAATTGGTACCTACAAGGGATGCTGGTGCTTGCAGTGAGAGGATTAGCCTGCTATTATTGCTAGTGTACAGTCTGACTAGCTTCTGTTCTTTTTTTAAGAGCCACCTCAAATGTTCCTTTCACTGACATTGTACTCACAATCAAAATTTTTTTGTGTGATTTTGTAATATTTTTCTAAAACTAATAATTTTCAATTGATATTCAAAGGATTTTTATGTGACTATCATCCACTGTCTCCTTCCTTATAGAAGAGTGCTTATATAGCTATCTTCTAGTACAGTGCCTGGTGAAGGTATGCCATTACTTAATATATGAATATACTCTATGGTCAGTTGTGAAATAAATAACTACATAAGTTATTAATAGATACATTCATAGGTAGATTATTTATAATTAGTTCCTACTGTCCTGGAATTGTACACATGCACTGTGAACTAATCAGATACAAGGACCCTTGCATGCAAATCAGGAGAACCTCGTAAATTCTGATAACACCAACTAGGAACTGGAAACAATCTGGATGAACTAGACTCAGTATTAACCTAGATACAGATTCCTCTCTTCAGTTTTGTAGTTTCTAGATACTAGAAACATTTTAAAATTTTTTCATATATATTTTAACTAACATGTATTCTTTTCTATTTT